TAAAAGGATGATGTTAAGTCTGGAGAGGTGGGTATTTCTTAGCACCTATGCACTTAAATGTCATGCTTCCTCATGTGCTGCATGTCTAATTAATATGTTAAATCTCCACCCCTGGGCATGATGTTTAGTGTTATAATGATGGGAAAACGTAGGCGAAAGTTCAGCAGTGGGGTCCATCTTGGGGCAGATTCATTTGGTCAGGTCTTCACCAATCTTTGTAGTCTAGTCTCTCCTTTCTGTAAGCCTGCTCCTTTTAGTAAGCATGCTGCCCTCACATTCCTGAAACATATGCTATGTAAGAGCATGGAGTTTTAGCTATCCTGGAAGGTGTATTACCCAAGGACATACAGCTTCAGCTACCAAGGATTGCTGGACTTGGTGGTTAGGGTTAAAAGGACCAGAGTCCAGTCCCTACTCTCATTTCCACAAAACAAAAACAAAACACAAAACCCCACTAGATTCAGACAATTTTATAGGAGACTAACAGAAAAAGAGAGAGAGAAATTGTAGAGAAAGAAAAGCATTCATATTTTTCCTTACAAAGTATTACACTGATGGCTGTACCTGATAAAAGCTGCACAAAAAAAGGGAAACTAAAGACTAACTTCCTTACAAGTATTGATATAAAATTCTATTATCAGCAATGCAGAATTCTTGTACCACACCAATTTTTCTGCTTTATTCCTTTTCAGGCTATGTGTGATAGCTTTGTCCAATAATTAGTGGCATAAAAAGCTGGGTATCATTCCATATTATGCAGGCTATGACATTCTGAAAGGAGAAAAAAAGATGCTGAAAAGTCTTGCTTCTACATAGAATACCTTTCCTTTATCATTATTCCCTTGGGTCTTTGCCCTTTTGGGAGTGCCTCCTCTTCCTCTTGGAACTCTTCTGCGTGGGACTGGGTGTGGTGACCTAAAAGCCACCCCTTGTTTGTGAGAATCCACCACTGCCACTATGTCTCTGCAGGGGCCAGGGTGAACCCCAGGGGAAAGCAGTCCATCTGTCCCGATGGGCACTGTTGCAGCTTAGCTGCCTCATCTCACGTTGGGGCTACTTGGGTTAGCAGTCCTTTAGTCTCCTGCATTTCACTGCCTGCCTGCTTTTCCTACCTGATTTCCACATTGTTGTTTAGGTTTACATTCTGGCCTGTTCTCTGAATTATCCTGTGGACAATAGGGACTCACAAGTTTTAAATTTTTTAGCACAGCAGTTTTGGGGACTAGTTCTCTTGCAGGTGTGAAGACTGGACCTTCTAATAGATGCTAAACCTAGTAAATTGAACTTAAACCACCCTGTGTCATTATTAAGAATATGCTGTCAGGCTGAGAAAGACATGAAGCACCCTTCCTCCTGTCAAAGGCAACAGAATGCCTTCACCATTCACATCACTGAGAACTCTGTCTCTGATGAGGAATTGGGGAACTGGGAGCATGCAGCATTGTCTCTTTATTTTTTTGTATTTCCAATATCTCTATATCCTTTGCCACTAAAAAAAGAGAGAGAAATTTTAATTTGTGCTGGTTGGGCTTCTCTTTTTGTCTTCTTTCTTCTCATTCCTGCCTCATGATGCCTAGGCAGAAGTCACAGCCTTTAAAATGTGGTCCATTCAACCCTCTAGCCTCATCTACTGTCATTCTCTTTCAAGTACCCTGCATTCTATATTCTCTGGTTTATTCTCTGCTTGGAGAACATTTTGTCTTTTTGTGCTGAGGTCCATGCCCTTACCCCAGCTTGAAAAGCTTATCTTCCTTGGTCTACCTTATACTCTTTCCGTTCTCTGTCAAATAAGACTTTATAACACAATGATGTGAGATATATTTAGCCCAATCTAAAAGCACAGGCAGAACTGAGGAACAGTGAAACGAACTTTGAGAGATTAAGTATACTATCAGCATGAAGAATTCTACAACAAAGTAATATGAATTATGACTACTAGAATTTGAATCCTGATTCTCTGACTTAGAAGCTTCATGACCTTTTATGCACTTCAGTGTCATCTATAAAATGATGTGATGATCGTTTAGAGGGTTGTGAAAATGCAACAAGAGATCACTTTTGTAAGTCGTTAGCAGGGCACTTGGCACAAAGCAGGCTTTAATAAATCTAACTCATTGTGGGCCTTTTGTTTTCTTTTCAGGATTCACTCTATATTCTCTTAGGTATCTTCTGAGCACTTGAAAAAACAAAGACTCTTCATCTGCTAATCATCTGCTTCCTTCTGTAATCTGGAAAGCCCCAGAGGCCAGAACACAGAGGGAAAAAAAAACAAAAAACAAAAAACCAGTCTCTGGAGGAGTTGCAGTATTTGGCTGTTGGCAGAGGCTAAGAGAAGCAGGGGTGTGGAAAGCAGGATGATAGAGACTCTAAAGGGGAAAAGAGGACTCCAGTGGGAGATCTTTGAAAGTGATAACACTCCTCATTGTGACTCTGTTGTTCAATTTGATTTTATGTGGCTCTTCCTGCTCCTCCTGAAGGGTACTGAATAAATCCCTCTTCTTTTGAGTGAAAAGAAATGTGGACACATCAGAGGAAGCTGAATAGAGAATACAACAGCAATGTGGGTAACTGACCTGGGGACTTGGTGTGGGGCTGATGGGAGTTTAAAGGCCAGGATCAACCTAGAAAGGAAGATATAAGTCCTCCGTCACACTGTAAAGGGCTGGCCAGGTCTGGTGGGTGGTGCTGATATGAAGATCACCACTTGGAAATGGTGAGAGGGTGAAAGGAGAAAGAAGGAACGGGGAACACTTTGCTTTGCTTCAAAGCTGAGAAAGGAAGGAGTAAGTCCAAACTTTCGATAAGGGAGAGCCGGTTTTCAGAGTCCAAGGGGGAGTTTTGAGAAAAGAAACTGAGCAGTAGGACTGATTGGGAGCACGTTTATTTGGTTGTAGAGGGGAGGCACAGGGTTATTATAAACACAAAGGCTCCATTCAAGTAAGTTATACATTATTGCTTTTTTCTTTAAGACAATATAGATTTGAACTGTGTATTTCCAACACTTTAAATAGGAATGAAAAATCCCCATGTATCTTCTGATTTAGTTACTGAAGTTGACCTGTGTAAACTTTTCTTTAGTGATTGGCCTTCCAGATTTTCACATAAATGTCTACAGGATTGGAGGAAGAGGCAGATTCTGGGCTGGAAAAGTCTTAGAAGAGCTTGACCAAAGCTTTCTGAACAGTACACCTTAACAATCAGGAAGCAATTTTATCTGCATTTTGCTCTAGGTAGTAGCTATGTGGGTGTGTTCATGTGCTAACTTTATAAAAATCTATCAAGCTGTACACCTGAATCTGTGCACTTTACAGTATGTATGTTATACTTCAAACAAAAAGTTAACAAACTTGGGAACAAACAGTAATGTTAAATGTTTTGGATAGGGCAAGTAAAATAAATAATGAAAAGAAACTACTAGATCAGCCACACATCATTGATGGGGACCACCACTGATCTTAGCAAGAAAATTTTCAGTAGCAATAAAAAATGTATTATGCCTCCATCAGAAAGGATGAATACCCAACTTTTGTAGCAACATGGACGGGACTGGAAGAGATTATGCTGAGTGAAATAAGTCAAGCAGAGAGAGTCAATTATCATATGGTTTCACTTATTTGTGGAGCATAACAAATAGCATGGAGGACATGGGGAGTTAGGAGAAGGCAGCTGGGGGAAATTGGAAGGGGAGGTGAACAATGAGAGACTATGGACTCTGAAAAACAATCTGAAGGGTTTGAAGAGGTGGGGGGGTGGGAGGTTGGGGGAACCAGGTGGTGGGTATTAGAGAGGGCACGGATTGCATGGAGCACTGGGTGTGGTACAAAAACAATGAATACTGTTATGCTGAAAATAAATAAAAAAAAAGATAAAAAAATGAAAAGACAACTAACCTGTTTTGTCATTTGAAAAGACTAATAAATTATATATAAACCTCCAACTGTTCTAGTTGAGATGTAAAACATATGAGGACAAAAAAACCCTCAAGGGAATAAAAGGTATGCCCAGCGAGAAGTTGCCAGGGCTGAATAAAGGAGGGATGAGCAAGGAAAGCTGGGACAGCCCTCAGAAGAAAGGTGGATATAGGGCAGTGCCAGAGGAGGAAAATCCTGGATCAGAGGTGAGTGCGATGGTGGGGGAGGCATTCTCATCCCTCAGGTTCCTCTTCAGCTCTTTAAGAATGATGGGTCAACTCTGAGTTTGTGGCATCCAGAAAACACATGACAGTCTTAAGGATATGATGAATTATTTTTTTCCCCATTCTTTACTACCATCATTCTTCAAAAAGCTTTCCATTGTCTTCTCATTGTCTATCACTGACAATGTCTCACCCAGTGGTTATACACAGCAAAGTTCTTTTAATATGACCATGAAGCAGAGCTCAGTACTTTATTCAACCTGTTCCATTATAAGGCATTTCTATGTTAGGGATTTTTGTTGGTGGTGGTGGTGGTGGTGCTGGTTTGTTGGTTTCAATAAAGACCAGTTTGCAATCATCCTAGAAATTTGGATTTTTAGAAAACTTCTGAGGACTCCCATCAAGCCTGTTGGTATCTGGGTGTGAAGTCAATTAGTGCTAGTGGCTAAATAGAAGGAGTAAATATATGTTCTATGGTTAGGATTGGGAAACAGGAAGAGTGTCTAAGTGCTTGGTTAACAGAGAACATGTCTATTGTAGTCTGGGATCCTGGGGCAGTCCTTTCCATCAATCTGACATAACCAATTATTTAGGGATATACTCATGATGAAAAATTAAAAGGTAAAGTGGGCATCATAAATATTTCTGGACAGTTTATTATCTCCCACAGAAAGCACTAATATTGTTCTCTTCCTGAATCCATCAATTTATTTCTTCAAGGATGTTTATTCATCTATTGTCAAGGCACTGTACCGAAGACACAAATGTGATGTGTTCAATCTTAAGAAGTTCATTGTTTCATTCAATAATTAAGGATCAGAAACTTAACATAAAAAGAAGACAAACTCCTCTGTTTTCTCATTCATTCTATGGAAACTGTTTGCTATGATCTTTTTTTAAATAGACTTGTGTATCACAGCTATGGGTCACACACTTGGTATAAGGCCATGAATAAGACACACATAGTTAACTGAATACAATAAAGTCAGGTAGAGTATTAGGATCTTCAGTTTATGTCCTTCAAAGGTCAACATGGGAGATTCCATGAAAGCTCAGAAAAAGATACTTAATTTAGCCTCAGCATGGGATGGGGAATGAAGTAGAGAAGACTCCTCAAAGAGATAAGCCATGAGCCAATACTTGAATAATAAACAGAAATTAGGAAGGTGAAGAACACTAAGAAAGATGGAAAGAGGAACAGGGTAAATTGTCAGATTTCAGTTTTCTGATCTTGTAGTCCACTGAGTTGAAAATGCCACCAGGTGTCCCTAGCACTATACAGTGGGGAGCAAGTCTTACAGGACTACATCCATTTCTTACATTGTTTTATGTGTTAACAGGAAAGCAGTTTCATCTGTGATGCTGGGGATACCGTATAACCACACAACAGAAAACCCTGACACCTTCTTCCTTGTGGGCATCCCAGGTTTGCAGTCTTCACATCTTTGGCTGGCTATTTCATTGAGTGCCATGTATATCATCTCTCTGTTAGGAAACGTACTCATAATGACTGTAATCTGGATGGATTTCACTCTACAAGAGCCTATGTATTGCTTTCTGTATATTCTGGCTGCTGTGGACATTGTTATGGCCTCCTCTGTGGTACAGAAGATGGTGAGCATCTTCTTCTCAGGAGACGGTTCCATCAGCTTTAGTGCTTGTTTCACTCAGATGTATATTGTCCATGCAGCCACATCTGTGGAGACAGGGCTATTGCTGGCCATGGCTTTTGACCGCTATATAGCCATCTGTAAGCCCCTACACTACAAGAGAATTCTCACACCTCAATTGATGCTGGTAATGAGTGTGGCCATCACTGTCAGAGCTGTCATATTTATGACTCCATTGAGTTGGATGTTAAGTCATCTGCCTTTCTGTGGCTCCAATGTGGTTCTCCATTCCTACTGTGAGCACATAGCTGTAGCCAAGTTGTCATGTGCTGACCCTATGCCCAGTAGTCTCTACAGTGTGATTGGTTCATCCATTATTGTGGGTTCCGATGTGGCCTTCATTGCTGCCTCCTATCACCTGATTCTCCAGGCAGTATGTGGTCTCTCCTCAAAGAATGCTCAGCTGAAAGCATTAAGCACATGTGGCTCTCATGTGGGGGTTATGGCTCTGTACTACCTACCTGGGATGGCATCCATCTACGTGGCCTGGCTAGGGAAGGATACAGTGCCCCTCCACACTCAAGTGCTGTTAGCTGATTTGTACCTGGTCATCCCACCCACCTTAAACCCCATCATTTATGGCCTGAGGACCAGACAAATACGGAAGCGAACATGGAGCTTGCTGATGCACTGCCTCTTTGACCACTCCAAACTGGGTTCATAAACACATTCTGTTCAAATCTCGAGCAATCAAGATGACTCAAGATCAAGCATTCAAAGACGTCTTAGAAATCTGTAGAGCTGGTTTGGTGTGCCTAGCACTATAAAGAGTTCTAAGATGAAGCTATAAAGTGTATTCTTGTCCAATTTTCCGACTTCTAGAAGAATGTGTATGAAATGATTAATTTTCTGACATTTTTAATGATTTCAATCAACTAGTATCTGTGTGTAAGTCTGGGCAGAGAATATAGATTTGGGGTTTTTCTTTCCTTAGCTTCTGACCCTTATTTTCAAATGAGTATCAGTTGAACCAACTGTTTGGCCCCTTACACCTGACTGATTTTTATCAGGATTATTAATTTACTCATGTGATTACTATGGATGCAACTGTTAATATGTAACCCTGCCTCCTGGCCCAGTGATGAATCCACTCAATCTGGGTCTACTGGGGTCATGTGCTTACATGTGGACCACAGTCCTCTAGTCAAACTGAGTCCCAGTTTATCTGAGGAGATATAAACTTGGGATCACTGGCTATGGTCATTTTCTAACCCGTGAACTTGCAAAGAGAAACATGTTCCACAGCAAGATAAGCAGATTAGCAAGATGAGATGAAGAAATGGGAGTCTCTTGTTCTCTGATTCCAATTCATTTTGGGCACCTAGGTGCATCCCTGTTATTAAATTCTGTAAGATACTTCTATATCCTTTCAATTTATCCCTATTGTTAAGCTAGTTGGAGTCAGCATACTAATCACCAGCTTTTTGCTTTGAAGTAACAGAAGCTAAGGCAATGTGAGTTTGATTGTGGACATCTTTCTCTTTGCTTCCCAGTCTGGTTCTGTATAACTTAACTGCAAGGCATAAAAGAAAGGGATCAAATATAATATAGGTCTTTTTTCAACTGGACACCACCATGGAAATATGTTCTGGGATGAGACGGTTAATAGAATACAGTATCAGTAACGAAGCTGAAAGGTCCCTATTCTTTTCCACATTCCAGACATGTATTTGGTCTTTGTTTTTATTTTTCCCTTTTGGAAAGTCTTAAAGTGAATAACCAGTGTATATTGAAAGAAAAAGATTTCAAATGTAAAAGATACATATATTTGACTCTGGTACATTTGAAAATCTTAATAAAACATAATTTCCTAGTAGTGTTGATAACAAGTTATTATATCTGAGTCTTACTATTTCCTTGCTATTGATGGAGGATACAATGTTAATTCAAAGAAGACATTAAAGATTAAAGAAATAGTTATTAGAAACCACATAACACAATATCTGACATATTGTCTGTACTTAAAATACACCAAATAGATTTCTAATTCCATACTTTTAAGGAGCAGTTCAAGGCACTATTGAAAGTGTATTCCCGTGTAGGTCAACAGTCATGTGATAGCTGTTCCAAACAATCTGCTTAACAACTTGGCATCCATCCCTTTTGCCAGTACTAAATTACTTGCCTACCTAGAATGTATTCTATTTCTGAATACCAGTGAAGTAGGAATCAGCTTCTAAAAACCTGGTAGTGATGCACTGAGTTCCCAAAGAGTATGAAAATGAAACTCCTCCTCAATGTAAAAACAAATCAACATCATGAGGTGGTTAAATGCATTTGATAAGATTTCTATTTTGAAAAGTCACACTGTTGTTTCCCTATAAGCACCCAAAGAACTGTTGTTTCCCTATAAGCAACCCAAACAACTATGTTCGTCAAATACAAGAATATTAGATATGGTAAAGAATGTGATGTAGAGCAACAAAGGCATAGTTCAGCCTGCACTCAAAACAGTAATTTCTCCCCAGCATTTCCCTCAGAAGTCTGCCCTGCTTTGTGTTTCATTCACACTGGTATTCCCTGAAACTAGCTGGGACCCACTGTTAGTGCTCAGATATTGAACTACATACTTCCAAAGTGGACTAGTTTCCTGCCATGGCTACCCCCAAACAGAAAATCCCATGCTTCTCCTAATAGATGAGATATGACCCCTGTCCTCTCACACTAATCAATATATGCCATTTAACTAGTGCCTAGGACCCACAAAGAGTCTCAGTGTTTGGATCTTGAGAGATTAAAATACATCCTGCTTGAAAAATGGGAGACTGGATTTCCTGTAGGGAGTCCAAGAATTCTCCCTGTCTCTCTGCAGGACTATTTCCCCCTTTCAGTCTTTTGCCTCAAGGCTCAGGCATTGCACCCCTTGTTTCTCTGCTAGTAGAATAAGGATGGGCAAAGCTTATCCCTGCCTTGTAGTGAATGATCTCACCTAGATGGAGGAGATATCCTAGACATTCAAGGGAGTGGCACAGACACTCTTTTCTGCATGACCCCCTGCTTCCTCCTTTTCTGGGCCACTTTTGTGATTATCTATTGAATCATGTTTTTTTTCAACAGAATTATAATTAAATACCATATAGTTGTTCACACCCCTATCACACAAAAGCTTTTGTTTTGATTCTAGGCATATGAATGAAAGTTCCCTCATTTAAATATTTACACACACACACACACACACACACACACACACACACACACACAGTGCTAGACTGGGCTAAAATTGTGAACCAGACAAATAAGGTTCTTGTCTTCACGGTGTTCTTAGAAAGGAAGTATAAGCAGTTATCCTAGAGAAAAGGGTTTTCATATACTTAAGAGTCAATATTCTTGCCTGGTCTTAAAAATCAGACAATATGAAATAAACAATGTGTTTAACCTTGTACTTCTCACAGGTAATCATAGCCCCCAAATCAGCTTATAAAAGCAAAAAAAAACCAAAAAACAAAAAACCCTTCCCAAAACAGCATGTTAACAATGAAGTCATTCCACTATTCAAGTCACTCTACTTTTATATGATTTTATCAGCTAAAAATCCTTTTTCTAAGAAACTTTCAGGATTAGTCCTAATAAAACCATAGTAAAAGAACAACACTGGTTTGTTTCCTAGCTTCTTCAGCTAAGCGTCCATGGACATAACTGGAAGAACTTCCTAAAAATTGATTTCTCAAGTTTATAAACAATTCCCCAGGGAGTTCCCCTATACAAAGACATATGATCCCTTTAATGGAGGTCAGCTCAAACCTTTGCCAAGACCAGGTCTGTGACTTACCAGTTCATTCCTCTCCAAGCAGAGAATGGAAACTTCTCCCCTTCTGCTAATGCTTGAGGAGTGACTTGGAAGCATAGTGGGCAGAATGAGTTTATTTCTCCATTTTAGCCTGTTTTACCTCTTCCATATGTGAACAACCAACACAGTTAAAGTAGAAAGACAATATTTACGCTTCTTTATTACAGGAATTACTTTGCTTCTCCCTATACCTGACTTGGTAATTATTTTGCTGCCCAATCCTGACTCAACAGTCACTACTGTCAAGCTTCCACTACATCAGAAGTGGTGTTCCACAGCACCACGGCGACAATGTTGATGTACACATCAGAGCCCCTTGCAATAGGCAAGGCCAATGGTTTCCACATGCTTGTCTTGCAATTTATCTCCAGGCACAAGCATTCCCACATCATACACTTAAGCCCTGTAATGTATTATTTTTGGCACATATAACCATCACTCTAAGGTCAACAGCCCAGATACATAGTTTTACTTCCCTTTCATTATAACGTATGGCTCCTAAGTTGGCTTTTCATGCCCTTTCCTTCTTCTGTCATAGATTTAGAGAAGAGAAAGGCAGACTATTATGTAGTTACCAGAGCCATGAAGAGTCCCTTGGTGACAAAAAGATCCAAACTTTAGCCCAACTAGCTTGTTGGTGAGCCTTCTTTCCAGTGCATCTGTTTTAAATTTTTCTTTTTATTATTTCCATTCTCTACCCTGTCACAGTCCCCATTCTAATCCAAACAATAACACATACAATAGATGCACAACATATCACGGTGGCCCAGAGTCTGCCATTGGCAAGGGACCTTTCTGTCTAACGGGCTAAGATTATCAGGAGAGGCTCTACGAAACAAAGGCACTGCTGTACGGATGCTGGCTCTAAGCAGGCAAGGCGGGAAGGCTACTGCAGGCAAAATCCATGGCCTGCCTTTCTCCATGCCTGAGAAAGGAAAAATACAGGATGGATCTGAGATCTTCAAAACAATCCTGTGAGTTAGGAGGCTCTGCAATTTCTATACCCACTTTTCCATTGAGGACACCTAAAACCCTTCCAACACTGGGATGTTTCAGACCCAACTATAATGAATAATATGCAGACAGGTGACCCGAAAAGCAAGTCTGTCCATCTTGTTTCATTTGAATGTGGGAAATACTTTATAAGCTTTACGATCTTTTTTCAACCGTTTTGTGAGAAGTAATTTACTGCATTTAAGGCCACTTCAGTTTTTTCATCCACAAAATGAACACAAGAACAAGGCTCACAGGTTTTCTGATCCTGACGCTTGGGAGAAAAGGCAGGACCGCGACACAGATCTCCTTAGGTCTGAGATAGAGTGACTTTCCCGGCTTATGCTCAAAGAGGGGTTATGCATATTGGGGTGGCCTGTGCAATGCTGCAAGGCACTTCTCTAATTAGGGGGTCAGAGAGTTGGGGTCAAATATGGGTTGCTCAGTAGCAGCAAACCTCAGGCAAAGCATCCTCAACTAGTATCAGCACAGCAACCAGCTCTGGACATGAACAAGTATCTTTTGGCTTTTTAGCAATCCCTACGCAAAGGGTTTCCTCTAGGTTGGATCTACTTCATCATCCTTGCTGACTTAATTATGGCACCCACAGGGACTGGGGAAGAGGAGCATGAGCTACAGAAAGGACAGAGTCCTGACTCTCACAGCAACACGTTACCTTACAACTGCTCAGATCCTTGCTCTTAGCCCTGTCATGCTTCCCTCACTGGGGTGCCATGCTCATTTGACTGCACCTCAGCTTTTTCATATGAGTAGGTTAGTGAGAGACCTTGGCCCAGTAGCAACAGACTACTGGGTCAGGCGGAGGGCTCCCTGGATCTTAGACTCAGCATAGTTCAAGGGGATCCTTATTGGCGGTGGGCCCTCCAAAACCTGTGTGGGCCAGGTGACACTCCAAGGCCTCTGGCTAGGATGGTGGCCCTCTTAGTCCTCCCCGTCCAGGGAGCAGATGGCCAGAGGAGCTGTGTTGTTCGCTCCAATGCTGTAGCAAGGACTAAAGTAGGGCAGGAGACGCCCGGGGAAGGGATAGTGGGGGAAAGTGAAAATATGGGAGCCATTGTCAGTCACATTGTAGAAAGAGATATCATGGGCCTCATAATCCAGGAAGACCCCCACCCGGCGGGGAGGGACAGGCAAGGACAGGAGTGGGTATTCATCGGTGCCTGCTCGGTACTCATTTCCCTTCCGCAGCCTGATCACCCAGAATCCATAGTGGGGGGATAAATAGACCACCTCCTTCCGGTCTACATTTTCCTTACACACTCCCAAGCCCCATTCCGACCTGTCTCCCACTTCCACCTCCCAGTAGTGCCGGCCTGAGGAGATGCACTGGCTTCCCAGGACGATATTGTAGCGGTAAAATCTCTCAGGATTGTCAGGCAGTTTCTGCTTGGTGTCTCCATAGTGCACGCATTTTCTGTCCTCAGACACAACGAGGCGAGAATAAGCGGTGTCTGGATCCAGGCGCACATCAGCTGGGAATAAAGATCCTGGTTGGAGACACTGACATGCAGCAGAGGGTGTGGGCATGGTCTGATAAACACAGCCACAGGTTTCTCAGAGACGAGCAGGACCGGGGAGAGTGGGGGCATCCAGAAGGCACTCAACCATTTTCATTCTCTAGGAGGGGTCCCTCCCACTGCCCACCATAACCTCTCCTAGCATTCGTTACCTGCATATGTCTTCAAAATCTCTCTTAGCCCCAGCACACGACAATCTGTCTTTAGCTCCAGGGAGACTGGTTCTGGCCTCTGCAGACTCCAAGACTTGCTCCTGGCAGAGAAGAGGTAAACTTTGGGGCCAGAAGTCCTGCTTTGCTATATGGGCCTTCCTTACTATAGGAAAGACAGGCTTGGCCAGAGATAGTCAGTGGGGTGCCCCTCCCCAGCAACACCAGGCAAAGCAGAGATGTGATTATTTGACTGAGCCTGAACGGTTTGTGGCAAGAGAGAACCCTGGCATCCCCGTGCTGGGGGGAGGGGCAGATGTGCATTTGGCACTGGGAGAGGAAGCAGTGTGCCACAAAAGAGGAAGGCAGATACTCAGGCTGAAGCACAACTGGAGACATCTGCGGTCTTTGTTCCTTTTTTGGGCAATCACCTGAGACTGCTTAATTTATAACTTTGTCTGAAATTCTTAACACTTAAAATGAATTTGAGTACAAAGGAAAAAGAATGAGGAACAAAGCTTCTTTAGCAAATATAATGAAAGATGATGCTTATGCACCACTCTTCTGTGGGTGCTGGGTCTATGTTCCTTTCCCACTTCTGCCTCGGGCCCGGGCCCATTATCCCCTTATAGGGCTGCTTAGGGGCTCCAAGGATGGAACATACCTGTTTAAGACTTCCTGAATACCCTAGAAGGAGGAAAAAAAAAAAGCAGCATATGAGTGTTATTCCTCAGATGGACCAGACAGTAATGAGCTCTGGGAGGGGGTTTCTCTGAAGAAAGGGAGGTAGAGAGCAAGGCTGGACTTAACTTCAGGCTCCACCTTGGTTCCCAGGCCAGAGGGTAGGGGCGGGTATTATGCCAGAGCTGCCTAAGTGCTGTCCCACCTACCAGGCGACAAGAGGCCATGCCAGGGGTAGAGCAGCAGCATAGTGGAGGGGGCGGTATATGGGATCCACACCTGGTGGGCACAGTGCTGACAGGTCCCACTGAAGACTAGCTAATCTTCTCCTAGAGTCCCACACCATCTTCAGCTCTCTTTTAGAGTGCCCAGAAAAACCCGCCACTCACCTGCAGCATCCAGCGGACAGGCCTCTGAGACCTCTCTTCCAGTTCTGCAATCATCCTCCACAGCACCTGGCTCTGCTGGACGAGCTCATTATGATTCTGCTCCAGTTTTTGCACAGTCTCTGCCTCTTCCTGCTCTAGACTGGCCAGAGCTGCGGCTGCTTCCACCTCCAGCCGCCGACCTGGAGGCTGTGTTTTTTTTAGTAATCGCCGGTATTTCTCAAACTCCCACATGATACTCTGCTTTCGGGTTTCCACCTGTATCTGGAGAGCCAGGCAGGACCAGAAATCAGCACTGATTCTGATAGGACCCCCCAGGACTGAGGGTACTGGCACATGCACACACACACACACACACACACACACACACACTCTGGAATGTGTGGGTACCATGCATCAGGCACTGCAGAAGCCACAAGAAAGGAGACTGTTTTGCCTAGCTCTCTGTTTTGCCTATCTCTCTGCCAGCACATGCTTCTGGGTCCCTATCACTACTCTTACTGGGCCTAGTAGGGCCTAGAATATTATTTTGGTACTATATGCTCTAGGCTATTTTCTAGTCTCAGAATAATATATTCCATTTTCAGAATAATGACCAGAGGGATTGCACTTAGGCCTCTAAGGCAGTGTAACT